GGTACCGAATGGAAGCCTACTCAAACTGTAGTGCTTACTTTTGACGGCCAAACACTACCTAAAAAAGTGTTTTGTTTTTACTCAGCGCTCCCGGTAGAACTATACTCGTACCCTACTATACTGTGTTATCACTGTTGCCGTTTTGGGCATACCCGCACTCTTTGCCGCTCCAAGCCACGTTGTTTCAAGTGTGGCCAGGATCATCCAGGGGATGGATGCCAGATTCCAGCTGAGACCGCCATCTGTGTCAATTGCAATGGCACCCATTTTGCTAATGACAAAGCTTGTCCTGAATTGGGCCGCCAGAAGAGCATCAAAGCTCTGATGGCTGAAAAATCAATTTCATATGCGGAAGCAAGCCAGGTTTTCCCTACTGTAAAAAGGTCTTATGCTGAGGTCTCAAGATCAGTCAACCTCATAGATCCATCTCCTATTAAAAAAACATCCCAACAAAGAGTCTCCTATAAAAAAACTATACACCTTAAACCTAAATCACATGCTCCCCTATCTCCTAGCTATGACAAGAAGGCCCATCAGGCCCTTATCCAAGACCACTCTTACTCCCCATCCAAAAACGGTTGCGCTTTCCCTGTGGAATCCGGAACCAACATTCGTAGCTCCAAGTACATTCTTAATATAGTTTCTGATATGCTCATGGCAGTACTATCAAACCCTGCCCAAACAGTACCGGACCACGTCGCACAAAAGCTTTCAACAATTCTTGATTATATTTGTAAAATTCCTACCTCTAACACTGCTTCAGTGGAACGTGAGGAGTACTCTTCCCAGGAAGAGTGACTTACTCCACTTAATGAATAAATTTAAACCATCGACTTGTGGCATTGCTGAGACGTGGCTTCGTCCGAATATCAATTTCGGGATCCCATGTTTCAGTGTTGTCAGACATGACAGATCTGATGGTTATGGAGGGTGTGCTTTGTTAATTAATAACAAAGTACCCTTCTCCCAGATCCCTCTACCCTTCGTTGGCGATGACATAAATGTTGTCGCTGTTAAGGCTGAGGACATAAATATATTTGTATTTTACATTGCTCACCTCATGTTGACACCTTATTTTGATTAAAAATTTACTTACCTCAGGTAAGTGGCCCATTACTTGTTATGGGTGACTTAACTCCCATCACTATAGATGGGGTTCAGATTTTTGTGATAATATGGGTAATGAGCTAGTTGAGATGCTGGACGAACTCGATCTGTGTGTCATTAATGATGGCAGCCCTACTCGTAGGTCTGCATTAGGTCAAAGAAACAGCTGTGTGGACTTGACCTTTTGCTCGCCTGTTATGGCTAGCGTGCTAAATTGGAGTTGTTTAAATTTGACCTATGGTAGTGACCACTACCCCATCATAATTAAACACCTGTCAAAATCCATCCCAGATAAACCCCTTCCCCCCTATTAAGATATCGTTTAGATTCCGCAGACTGGGATCTTTACTCTAAATTATTAGACCTCCGCATTTCTCTCCTTCCACCAGTTAACAATGAGAATTCTTTGGATGTTTCTCCAAATTTTCCGACCTGATATCCTCCACAGCCGAAGATTGCTTTCCTGTGAAAAATGCACCGAAAGGCAATATCCCTTCTCCACCATGGTGGGATAGTGAATGCACTGCCATGATAAGAGCTAGGAATGCGGCTGAAAAGACATATAACCAAGATATGAACCTGGAAAACCTCCTAAATTTCAAGCAAATTTTGGCTAAGTCAAGGAAATTGTTCAAGAAAAAGAAGAGACAAGGGTGGCAGAGATATTGTGGTTCACTAACCCATCAACACCAATATCCAAAGTTTGGCAGAGAGTTAAAAATTTTAGGAACTCCACCAAACCTCCCACTATCTCCACCTTACCCGAATCTCTGAGTAACAGTTTTTTCAACAACATTGCTCCAACGTATGTTCCTACTGCAGATGAATGCTGCCTGAGATCCCATGAGATCGAGCGACCCGAGTCTCATGACCCGCTCGATTTGGAGTTCTCACCTGATGAACTTCAAACGGTACTCAATCATGTGAAGGACTCGGCACCAGGGGTTGATGGGTTCCCCTACTCATTCCTAACTAAAGCAGGAACTAAAGCGAAGCAATACTACCTTGACTTGGTCAATTTTTGCTTTATGGCTATATTCTTCCTACCTGGAAGGTTCAGGTTATTATGCCGCTGTTAAAAGCTGGCAAGGACCCTGGTGACCATTTGTCGTACAGACCTATTGCCCTATCGTCCATACTTATTAAAACTTTTGAACACCTCATCAAAAACCGCCTTGAATGGTTGGTTGAGAGCCAGAGGCTGCTTCCGGCGACTCAGTTCGGCTTCAGGAAAGGTCTGGGTACGGCTGATAGTGTGGGTACCCTCACTTCAGCCATCCGACTGGCCCTTAGCAGGCAGGAGTCGTTGGTCGCAGTCTTCTTGGACATCTCAGCGGCCTATGATTCTGTCCTCTTACCCCTTCTCAGGCAGAAACTGCAAAAGCTGAGAATCCCGAGTAGGATCTGCCGAATTATAGCCCACATCCTTTCCGATCGTACCCTCCAATTAAGAACTCCTGAGGATAACCCAGTACGGAGGTCCTCCTGGAAAGGTTTACCTCAGGGGTCAGTCCTTAGCCCCATCCTTTATAACATTTATACATATGACCTTCCCTCCTGTCTAAATTTAACTGTAATGTCCTTCAGTATGCTGACGATATCGCACTAATGGTTACTAACAGCTCTATAACAGACGCCGCCCACTCCATCAACGTCTCTTTGGCCTCATTAAACCAATGGCTTCTGAATCACGGGTTATCTTTAAGCGCCCCAAAAAGCTCAGCTGTCATTTTTACACGCAAACGACGCACTCCGGATCTTCGTGTAGAGATAGACGGTCAGGATATCCCAATCAAAAGCAGTGCTAGATTCTTGGGGGTTTATCTCGATTCAAAGATGTCTGGGGCGGATCACATAAACACTGTGGTTGCAAGGTGTGAACGCTCAGTATCGATACTCAGAGCTCTGGCCGGGGTATGGTGGGGTGCACACCCCTACTCATTGAAGCTCATCTATAATGCATTGGTCAGAAGTGTAATGGACTACTGTTGCTTCCTTATTGTTCCTTGCAATAAGGGTGCATTAAAAAAACTAGACTCCATTCAGGCCAAATGCCTTAGAATAATTATCGGAGCTATGAAATCATCCCCCATAAATGCTCTTCAGGTTGAATGTGTAGAGCCTCCCCTCAACCTTCGAAGACAATACCTGGCAGACCGCTTCATCTCAAAAGTCCTCTCCCTCTCATCACACCCTCTTCTTCCTATCCTAGAACAAATCCACTGTTCCTATAGGTCCTCTTCCTACTGGAACAATAAACCTGTCCCTCCCGTGATTGTCAGGTACAGGGAGCTTAAAAACCTCTCTGCACCCATCAGGCAATATCCTGTACTCCCGGTTTTCTCTTCCGTATATGAGGTTATCCACTTCAGGCCAAAGGTAATTCTAGGACTCGGCATCTCGAAATCCTCCGTAGATGCTGCGGGCGAGTTTGGGCGCGCTTTGAACAGTTACTGGAGGGGCTGGAATATTTTCTTCACCGACGCGTCTAAACTATCCCGAAATGGAAGTACAGGAGTAGCAGCGTACTTCCAAAATTCGAAGATCGCCCTCCTCTCCAAGTGTCCCCCGGAAGCATCTGTCTTCACGGGAGAATGTGTTGGCATTTTAGAATCAATAAAATTTATTAGAGCACACAACCTTAGAAATTCTGTTATATTTTCCGACTCCCGAAGTAGCCTACAGTCTCTCAACCAAGACCAGCTCCATTCCCGAACTCATAGCAGTTTGGTTGTAGAGATAAAGGCGCTTCTTTTTTCTTGCTTCAAAGATGACATAAATATCGAGATCGAATGGATTCCTGGTCACTCTGGCATATGTGGTAACGAGTGTGCGGATTCATTGGCCAAATTTGCGGCCTCGAATGAGGTCGAATGCCAACACTACGTTGTGTACGGGTATGATATACGTGCCGACACAAAACACAAGCTATTTGACTCATGGGCTGCAGTGTGGGTAGAAACTTCCAAACGGAAAGGTGCCTACTATGCAGTTGTCCAGCCCGGCATCCGACGGAAACCTTGGTTTTCCAAGTACCCTAAGCTTCCCCGTCATACTGTTTCATCCTTGTGTAGGCTCAGACTCGGCCATTGTAGTAGTCCGGTCTTCCTCAACAAGATCCGTGTCCGCGACAGCTCGCTGTGCGAATGCGGCCTTGATGAGGGAACCTTAGAACACATATTTTTTTCGTGTCCCTTAAATTCCCAATCCTTTGACCTCTACAAAAAACTTCCCAGTATCCAAATCCCACTCCCAATCAGTTTCCACCTCCTTTTAACTCACTTTTCCCACAAAGTAATTATTTATATATGTAAATTTATGAATGAAAATGAGATCAAAATGTGACGGTGTCCAATGATGTATATTAATATCTGTCTATATTGTGTATGTCCCCCAACTATTTTTTACACCACTGTATATATACAGTAAAATAGTTGATAATGTTTATGTTTTACTAACCCAATTGTTTTGTCCTTTCAGCTACTAACAACTAAAAACTACCGCAAAGTTAAGTTCGACGGTCCAATAATTTTGCCGTCACCACTCGACACTGGCAGTATAGTCGACAACACCATTTTGGAGACTCAGTTGCCAAAGAAGAAAAAAAAAAAAAAAAACTGTAGGCCTCTAGCGTTCAATAGCCGAACTAAAGACCATGCACAAGAAATTGCATATGCAACTGGAACGCTACTACTGTCAATGTCACTGTCAACTGTCAAACTAAGAAACAAGATGGCGACTTGATTTGACCGTCCGTCCTAAATTGTACACAATTTTTCGAAAACATTGTTTATATAGTTTAATTAGAATAAAAACAATGTATAAATGTCGATTTATGGTCTAATATAGATTAAGGGTAATTTTATCTGAATGAAAACAACGAATATATAAAAATGTCTTTAGAAAATTGGAAATTAGAGAAAGATTTGTGTCGCTGTTGTCACAACGAAGGAACATTTATTAATTTGGCTGATCCATTTACTATATTGGGTGTAACGGAAACATACACGAATATGTTGAAAGAATGTTTTGATATTGATGTAAGTATTAAATATACAATACAAATATTTCTCCCTGAAATCTACTAAAACTTGTTCCGAAAAAACGTAAATAAACAAATAAAAATCATTGTTTACGAAGTAGAAATACTTCTTATTGGAAATATCTATGAAAGTTGATTGCAAGATTAATGAGATAGTCATCTACCAATTAGATATATATGACCTAGCTTTCTTATGTGTTTAATGTATGTACACATTGACTTCCATACACACAATAAATAATTAATCTTATTATAATGAAAAATTAAAACCAATATATATTCAAATACAAAAAAACCAAGTAACAAATAATAAGTTGGTTAAATTTTTAAGATCAATGTTTACTTATTTATTTTATTCCAAATTTCAGTTATCTCCAATACCAGGCATGTTATGTACATCGACATATACGATATGTGAATCCTGCGTCACACGATTACGAGATGCTACGGACTTCAAGAAACAAGTTCTATCTTGCGAGGAAGCATTTAGAGATCTGTATAATAGGAATTTTATAAAAGGTATTTAATTCAAAAATTGAAATCAACAGTTTATTTAAATATAAACTAAGTAATAAATAAATAGGGCTAAAATAAATATTCAAAACAACCTCGGTTTCGTCGTGTGAGTGAGGTTACCGAAGGCCCAATTCTCCTCCCCCTCGCTTTCCCAAAATCTGGAATTTAATCCAGGTGTCCATGGGCGACGCCAATTGCTTACCATCAGGCGATCCATCGACTCGTTTACCGGCTTATCACATAAAAAATTAAGAGATTACATTAAAATTAAAAACATTTTGTAATGGGCTCAATTTTGTAATTGATATTCCATGATCTGTGACTACACCTGTATGATAAAAATATTTTAACACTACCTTTTATTACCTATAGATGGAACACAATACTCTCTATTCTTAATTATAACATATTTTGCTATACCCGATAGAGACCATAAATGTGTCCTAGCTTTAAGCACTATATAACATCGTATGAAACATTATGGTATGCATAATTCAGATATGAATAATTATGAATTATAAAGCCCAATTACCCCACCTCATCCCTTTCCCAATTCCTGAATCCTTAAGAATTCTAATAGGGTAGATGCCTAATTTTTATTTGAATGTCCGTCTGGTAGATTATTTTAAAACATTACACACGTATTTCTTTTCTTACTAAATATTTTCGACGATATATTGATTTGAAATGTCGCGTGACGTCACTTCTAGGTACATTTTACACGTAGAAATGACGTCTTAGCTCATACTCCTAAACTTTGATTCGTTTTATCTAAGTATTGTTTTATTATACGACAAAATAAAGAAATACGTGTCTAATATTTTTTCATTACCTAATTGACGGACTAAATAGATTTATAATTTTTCATACCCCGTCATCATCCCTATTCCTAATCCCCAAAAGGCAGGTAACGCACTTTTAACACCTCTGGTGTTCCATGGGCGACGGCATTTGCTTACCATCAGGTGGTCTATCGGCTTGTTTACGGGCTTATACCATAAAAAAATTAATAATATTCCCGTATTTTATAATAACTATCGTGAGACATACTAAATTTACTAAAAATCGCGGGTTACTAACGTGAATATACTAAGAAAAGCTTTACTAATTTCGATGTTGACGCACACGGTACGTTCACCGCTGGTGAACGTACATCGCCGCGACCGCTCACGCTGCTCATGAGGAAGAACCCCTCTGTGGTTCGAAACTAGTAGAGCTTTTCTCAGTATATTCACGTGAGTAACCCTCGATTTTTAGTTAATTTAATATTCCTGTACTTATTACTAAAGTTAGGTCCTTAAAAATATAGTTGTAATGTGTATCTTTAAGTCAAGGCGCATAGACTATTTTCTTGTAATCAAATCAAATCTATTATGATATACTACAGAAGCGGAACCTATAGTACAAGTGGAAGTGAAGCAAGAAATACCTGATGCTAATCTAGATGGTAAGTCACTTCACAATTAATATCATACAACACCCGTTTAATTTGTACACTAGCTATTGCCCGCGGCTTTGTACGCGTAGATTATGGGTTTTAGCACATAACTTTTATTGTTTCAATTTTCCAAAATAAAAATAGCCTATGTTACTCCTTACTACATCAGCTACCTGCCAGTAAAGGTTCCGTCAAAACCGGTCCAGCCATTTCAGAACTTAGCCAGGATAAACAGACAGACAAAAGTTAAAAAAAATATTATTTTGGTATGTGTAGTGTATCGTATGTATACTTCAAATTGGAGTGTCTATTTGTAATATTAAAATAACCGCTCTTTACTACATACATGCATATGAATATACATACAATACATATCTGTCTGTCAGTCTGTTTGTACTGGCTAATCTCTGGAATGGTTGGACCGATTTTGACGGCACTTTTATTGGCATATAGTTAATGTGCTAAGAAGTAACATAGGCTACTCTTATTTTAGATAAACGCAGTTCAATTAGTTCTAAATATGAATGAAAAAATTGGGTTTTTATTATATTACAGATGTATTCAAAGATTCATGTCCACTAGACGGTGGCAATGACTATGTGTGTGTGGACAGCGAAGACGAAATGGAGTTGAGAGTGGACGAACAGGGTATGTCTACTTTATATTACACTAGCTTTTACCCGCGACTTCGCTCGCGTCACAAAAGGATAAAAAGTAGCCTATGTGACATATACAATACACACAGCGCCATCTATACCAATACTTTTGTTTTCCCTCGGGAATACCAAATTTTTCCGGGATAAAAAGTACCCTATTATTTAATCCAGACTTCTAACTTTACGTCTGCAAAAATTCATAGCAATCGGTTTAGTAGTTACGGCGTTAAAGTGGAACAAACAAACAAACAAACTCACTTTCCGATTTATAATATAAGTAAGGAAAGTAAGGATTACTTTACATTACCCCACAATAGGATTTTCTTCTGCCTCGTTGGCCGAGTGGTCGCAAGTGCGACTACCGGGCAAGGGGTCTCGGGTTCGATTCGCGGGTCGGGTAAAGTATTACTGGGTTTTAAAAAAAAATCTCAGTAGTAGCACGGAGTCTGGAAATGTGCCCGGTATATGGCAATAGGCTCACCCCCTATTACATGGGACTCATAACATAAATAGTGAAAAAAGAGTGTTACCTCTGTGTGCACCTCTGCATACCCCTTCGGGGATAAAAGGCGTGATGTTATGTTATGTTATGATTTTCTTCTGTGTCGTGTGTGCGTTTACGAACATAAAAGTTCACAAACACATCACACAGGTGGTAGTTATCTAGGCAGGAAACCGGTGATTAAGGAGCTGGTCTAAAATCCTTGACGCCAGATGTCTCTTTATACACTTTGTCTTTCTATGCGTTCGATCAACCAAAAAAAAAAAAAAATCACTCAGACACCGAACAACAATTGGTCGATGACACGATTTTTTGTGCGGGAATCGACCCAGTGTCACAATGCGCCGTAGCTGTTTGCCCGTGTCGTATTATTAAAAAATATATATTACTAGCTTTTACCCGCGGCTTCGCTCGCGTCACAAAAGGATAAAAAGTAGCCTATGTGACATATACCAATACACATAGCGCCATCTATACCAATACTTTTTTCCCCTCGGGAATATCAAATCTTTCCGGGATAAAAAATACCCTATTATTTATTCCGGACTTCTAACTTTACCTCTGCAAAAATTCAAAGCAATCGGTTGAGTAGTTACGGCGTGAAAGCGGAACAAACAAACAAACAAACTCACTTTCCGATTTATAATATAAGTAAGGATGATTAAAAATGTACGTATATTTACAGATGAGCCTTCAGAAGTTGATGTAAAAAGTAAGAAGCGAAAATTAAGAAGTAATAAGAAGACACAGAAGAACAAGAGTTGTAGAACAGAGAGGAAGAATGTAAAGGTGGAGTCAGAAGAAAATAGCGGGAGTAAAAAAATAGGTGAGAGTCTCATTTTATTACCTAACTAGCTACTCTCCCGTTGTTTTACGAGCTCTGCTCGGCGCCTATTGATCGTAGCGTGATGTTTTATAGCCTGTAGCCTTCTTTGATAAATAGGCTATCCAACACAAAAATAATTGTTCAAATCGGACTAGTAGTTTCTGACATCAGGGCGTTCAAACAAACCGACTGTTCAGCTTTATATTAACATATTTTCAGCTATTTATAGCCATTATTTATAAGTAAACTAGCTACTTCCGCGCGGTTTCACACGCTCTGCCCAGCTCCTATTGGTCGTAGCGTGATGTTTTATAGCCTTTCGCCATCCTCGATAAGTGCGCTATCCAACACAAAAATAATTATTCAAATCAGACTTGTAGTTACGGAGATTAGCGCGTTCAAACAAACAAACAAAAAAACAAACTCTTCCGCTTTATATAATAAATAGTATATGATTCAGATAGTAGAATAAGAAACCCCTGCTCGGTATCCACACTAGCAACCGCTTCACATTTCGAATCTTAGTCAAAATCATTTATTTCTATTAGATCAAGAAGGCACTTTTGAACGTCAAAAACTTAGTATCCAGTTGGTCGTTTTCTACTATTTTAAAATCGGTGTTTGACATTCGGAAACTACTAACGTCCAGTTTCTATAACCTATCTTACTAGAGATAGAATTTTGACACTTTTTGTATGGAGCTCATGTCAAAAATCTATCTCTAGTAAGCAAATCTACAGATAGATAGGTTATTGAAACTGGACGTAAATGACTTAACACTACGTCGCTCCCCTTTGAAAACTTTTAACAAAATTAATGCAACATTTGACCTGACCACTTCAGACGCAGTTTTAGAATCGTGGTAACATTTCAACGCATTGAACATTAAGTGTGTGTATCCTGAATTTTTTTTTAAGGGGGGGAAAATCATCGAATGACTGCTCCCGCCTGGGTGAGGCGGAAGGGAGTGTCAGACTCTTACTGACCAAAAACCACCCCGTTCCTTCTCATGCACGTCGAGCCGGGGCCCCGGTTACCCGTTAGGTCCTCCGCGACGAATCCGCAAGATACATCAAGATTATGGAGAAGGAACGTACTAAAACAATACAAGTATATTTTCTGTCTCCAGGAAGAAATAGCGCGGCGGCAAAATTTCGACTCAACGACGAAGATTACAAGAGAGATGGCGACACCTACCAATGTGCGCGGTGCGACAAGAAATACGACAAGTTCTACTCCCTAAGATTCCACGTGAAGACGAAACATTATAAAATTCCACGATTCTCATGCAATATATGCCTCAAAGAATTCATGACGCCGGCGCCTCTCACTGTACACAAACTCGAAGAGCACAATATAGATGATAGGTTCAAATGCAAGGCCTGCAAAGGGATTTTTAACACGAAAATTCAGTTAAGGAAACATATCAACAATTTTCATATGCTCGGTGAGAGGTATAAGTGTGAGTTTTGTGAATACGAGTCCTTTAGCTTCGAAGGAATGTACAAACACAAATTTAAACATAAAACTGTCAAAGATTATCATTGTAGGTTCTGTAGGAAGTCGTTTTTAAGGAAAACTACACTGGATTTACATGAACGGATACATACAGGCGATAGGAGGAAGGTTTGCAGTGTGTGTGGGCAGGCGTTCGTTCAAAAGGCTAGTTTGAATTATCATATGACTAAATACCATCCTGAAGTCAATTTCTGAATGATTTGTTGCCGTGACGCGGAGATTCATTTAATGATTGCTTCAAGTATGTCTTATTAATGACGTTTATTAAATAAATTAACTAAAAATTAAAGACTGCCTCGTTGGCCGAGTGGTCGTAAGTGCGACTGCCGGGCAAGGGATCTCGGGTTCGATTCCCGGGTCGGGCAAAGTATTACTGGGTTTTTATAAATATTCTCAGTCTGCACGGAGTCTGGAATTGTGCCCGGTATATGGCAGTGGGCTCACCCCCTATTACATGGGACTCATAACATAAATAGTGAAAAGTGGGTGTTACATTGTACAGTGGTATAATGTGCACCTCTGCCTACCCCTTCGGGGATAAAAAGCGTAAGCGTAAGCGTTCGTAAAGGTCGTAGCGTAATGTTTTATAGCCTTTCGCCATTCTCGATAAATGCGCTATCCAACACAAAAATAATTATTCAAATCAGACTTGTAGTTACGGAGATTAGCGCGTTCAAACAAACAAACAAAAAAACAAACTCTTCCGCTTTATATAATAAATAGTATATGATTCAGATAGTAGAATAAGAAACCCCTGCTCGGTATCCACACTAGCAACCGCTTCACATTTCGAATCTTAGTCAAAATCATTTATTTCTATTAGATCAAGAAGGCACTTTTGAATGTCCGTTTTTATAAATATTCTCAGTCTGCACGGAGTCTGGAATTGTGCCCGGTATATGGCAGTGGACTCACCCCCTATTACATGGGACTCATAACATAAATAGTGAAAAGTGGGTGTTACATTGTACAGTGGTATAATGTGCACCTCTGCCTACCCCTTCGGGGATAAAAAGCGTGATGTTATGTATGTATGTAAAAATTAAAGAGTTATTCACGTAAATATACTGAGAAGAGCTCTATTAGTCTCAAGTCCAGAGGGGCTGCTTGACTGCATGCTTAGTGCGCTGGTGGCTGGGCAACCGATTTCCGCATGGAGCGACTCTTTGTGTGATTTGTTGTTCCGGGTCTGGGTGTCATGTGTATGTGAACTTGTATGTTTGTAAACGCACACACGATACAGGAGAAAATCCTAGTGGGGGCAACGTTAAAAAAGAACTCTTTCTCGGGATGCGATATGTCATTTTGTTCCGAAAACAATTGATAAGGACCGGGTGAAGTAATCATTAAATGATTGAATGACTGTACGGCAGTAAGTTGTGTAATACTTTTATAATGATGTCTGCTGTGTTCCTAAATGTCGTAGCGTAATGTACTTCAACAATTAAGTTGGAAGTTTCGGCTTTCTGCAATCGAGACCGCGTTCGGCGCTCTGATTGGCCGGCTCCTATGATTCAACCAATCAGAGCTTGGAACGCGGTCTCGATTCGATTCGATTACTTTAAACTCGTACTAAGCCCTCAGGCCGGCTGGCCTGTGCTCGCTGTTATTGCAGTGGTAAGTCCCCTCTTTGAGACGCCGTAGCGTCTCTCAAGCCACTCGGCTTGTAGTAGTATGCAGGAACGGGGTGGTTTTAAGTCAGTAAGAGTCTGACACTCCCTCTCGCCTCACCCAGGCGGGAGCAGTCATTCGATGATTTTCCCCCTCAAAAAAAGGCGCACTGGTCGCCCTAAATGCTTTGTTTTGGATTTACATGGGACCCGTAACATAACATAACATAATATCACGCCTTTTGTCTCGAAGGGGTAGGCAGAGGTGCACACAGAAGCAACACCCACTTTTCACTATTTATGTTATGAGTCCCATGTAATAGGGGGTGAGCCTATTGCCATATACCGGGCACATTTCAAGACTCCGTTCTCCTACTGACATTTTTTTTAAAACCCAGTAATACTTTGCCCGGCCCGGGAATTGAACCCGCGACCCTTTGCCTGACAGTCGCTTTTACGACCACTCGGCCAACGAGGCAGTCTCGTAACATAAATAGTGAAAAGTAGTTGTTACATTGTAATTGTGGAGTCTGTGTCTACCTCTTCATGGACTAAAAGTCGTTACATTACATTAAAATATTATACAATTTGTGAGTTTGTGTGTATGTTTGTATGTTTGTTACTCCTTCACGTCAAAACGGCTGAAGCGATCGGGGTGAAATTTGTAACCGGGATAGATAATGGTCTGGAATAATGAGAACACGGGTGAAGCCACTGGCCGCAATTAGTGTAACATAACATTACGCTACATCATTTAGGAACGAAGTATGTTAGAGCGGCTAGTATTACAATATAATTATGATAAATAGCAATATGTATAATGCAATTTTAGTTTTATATACACTGCAAATAAGATTCGAAATTGTACATAAAGGTACAAACATCCAAATTATTTAATATGCAGGTATGAAAACAGAGATTGATTCAGTACAGTGATAGACGGTATTGTTATACATAATTGGGTACTTTTCTTAATCAAAAATAAATTATTTCGACTGTTCAATACAATGAAATATTAAAAAATAATCACACTTTTATTAATTGATTTTATTACCAACTTTATTTTAGTATTTTTTCAGTTTTTTTTATGAGAAATAAGTAGGTATGCTGTTTGACGCTAAAAAACGTGACGTCACAATACACAATCTTTTACAAAATTCATAGAAAACTGTCGTTTTTGACAGTTCGAAAAAAGTATTGAATTTGACTAGTTGGCAAGTACTAAATTGTATGCTTTGTAACGAAGCCATGTCTTTTGTAACCATTGGTCGGCTCTAGACAACCAATGGCTACTGTCTCTGTACTGAAACAATTATTATTTTATTATCTGCATACTAAATGACTTGACTGATTGTACATAATTGAGTTACATTATTTTTATAGACTGAATATGGTGGAAAAGAGATGTTTTATAATGGTATTTAAATTATCATATACATTTGAGAGTAAAGTAACGGAGCCACTAGCATTTTTTTCTTGTTCATTTCTTGATAAATATTTTCTGTTACAAGTATTTTATTAATTTGTAACTTATGTCGTATAAAAGGTAATTTAGTTACGTTTAAATTGAACGCATTTTGTTGTAAAATGAATATGTTTTTTATTATACACCGTCATATTTATTGCTTTTCCGTCTCGCAGTAAAATGGTTCTGTCTCGATAATACAATAGTTTTACAAAGAAATAAAATGTTAAAACAAAAATTAACTGGTGAACCATTGCAAAGAGCAAACTTCGAAAGCGCATACGAACTCATAGTACATAATGAAAACATCACGCCGTGTAAGTCTCGAAGAGATATTTCTGGTCGGGTGGCACGTGCGATGCGAATAGTGCCTAATTTACATATAGTGTCTCTTATGCGCAAGTCAATGAATATTTTGACGTGACAACGTCTTATAAATTGGTTTGCCGGGTGACACTTCAAGAAACTGCGTTACGCTCGGCTCACGTTATGCGCTCACAATGAGAGCGAGTGAGAGGCACGCGTCCCTTCCACTCGGGCATGGTTAGCCCGCCTAAGAGCGAGAGAGACAGACATAAAAAGTGAAAGGCACACCACTCAAAGTCGTTGTCACGTAAAACTTTCGCCCGAATACCGACTTTACAGGCAACCAATTTTTTTTCATTTCCATCACTTAGTACCTATATCTAAAAATAAAGCGAAAATCATTTGGACACTTTCTGTCTAGGACCTTAGGTTCGCCTGAAAATAAAATCTCGCTCTAACTAAAGGTCAGTTGGCGCAGTATAAAAAAAGCAAGGACCGCTCGCTACGCTCGCTTGCCTCGCACCTTGTGAGGGTCACAGTTGTAATCTAACCAAATGTACCCCGCCCAAAAAGTGTTTTTACATGAGTATATAAAAATACTTTGGGGGAGTCCCCAACTGACCTTTAGGGCTCATTATCAGGCGAACCTGAAGCCCTAGATAAAAAGTGCCCATATGATATTCACCCTATTTTTAGATATACTAAACGATAGAAATGAAAAATCAGCCATTTATTAGAATTCTCATTTTTGATGAAAAGTCCTAAACTCTTTGTACTGCTACACTCCAACCGAATATTTTTATAACCAAAAAAATTACGTCTTTGTTTTGTTTTTACTTGATACATTGAAAGCAAGTTATGGCAAGTTCTTTTGCTGCGAGATGAAAACGAAATAGATTCCACGGTGTAGAGGGTTCGATAAAATGAAAAAAAAGTTAGTTTATTTGGTCCCAAGTGTAATTATGAATTTGATTTAATCAATGTGTGTCCTGTATTTTCTATTACTGTGTTATGCAAAAACGAATGCCTTTGACAATGCAATGTTTTAATTTGGGTACTTTCCTTAATCAAAAATAAATTATTTCGACTGTTCAATACAATAAAATATTAAAAAATAATCACACTTTCATTAATTGATTTTATGACCAACTTAATTTTAGTATTTTTCTAGCAAATTTTTAAGAAATAAGTATGCTGTTTCACGCTAAAAAACGTGACGTCAAAATACACAAACTCGTACGAAATTCATAGTAAACTGTCGTTTTTGACAGTTCGAAATAAGTATTGAATTTGACTAGTTGACAAGTACCCGATTAATAGTAATTCATTATAAGTTATTATTTTAACGATTAAAATGTGTACAACGAATTTTTAAATTATTATATGTTTCTTTTTATGTATAAACTACATTTTATAAAGTTTAATTTTATTAAACGTTGAAGAGGTCTCAAATTCGATTCCTATGTCCGGAAAAATTTACTTTTGTAGAAAGGGTAGCTTATATATTTTTTTATCACAAAATATGCAGAGTGTCAAGCACGAATAACTACCGCATTCGTAACGTAATAGTATCGAGCGCGTTCGGCGCTCTGATTGGCCGGCTCAAGTGAACCAACCAATCAGAACGCTTAACTCGCTCGATACTGTTACGATACGAATGCGATAGTTATTCGTGCTTGGCCCTCTGTTAGACTGCTTGTCTCGCATGCGTTTTCATCAACCACAGCTAAACTACCTTAGAGTTGTCGCGGAGAAACTAACGGGTTACCGAGTAGGAACGGGGTGGTTTTTAGTCAGTAAGAGTCTGACACTCC